CTCTCTGCTGCCCCTTTCTGCTCTTAGCTACTGGGCTTTATACAGGCCCCCTCCCTGTTCCTGTCCAGCTAAGCATAGTCTCTAATTACTCCTTGCTCCTTGGCTCCTCCTCCAAGTGCAGCCTAGGCAGTTAATTGGCCCACCTGGACACCTTAACCCCATCATGCACCTCCTCCAATGGGTTACATATTTTGTGGTGATAAGATCCCAGCCATGCACTGGTGGGGTTAGTGCATCTGCAACTTCATCTAGTGAGACCTGAAGAAGAGTGTCTCCCATCAGTAGAAATTGGTCCAATAAAAGATATGACCTCACCTACTGTCTCTCTATCGTCGAATAGGTCTAACCAGTCAATCAGAACATGGCTTTGAAAAAAGTGTCCACATTATACTCTAGTAGTTCCAGCTCTGGGGCACTGAAATCAGTTCCCTGCATTTTATCATGTGAGACTCAAGAGGGTATCCTGTGACTCATGAGCCAATTTATACAACATGTAAAAGGAAACCACAGGAAAGGCTGTGCATGGCTCACATTTCATAATGATTTGACTGAACTTTTGGTCCAGACATTGAGTCGGGAGGTGGATTCTGCAGTCACATGTCAGGCAGTGACAGATGCAGGGCACATTTACATCAGCAGAGGTTAAAGATGTGAACTGGTGCAAAGCTGTAAGAGCCATGCTTCTTTCCAGTTATTACTGAACCTTTCTTCAGCCCCTTAGTACACATGGTGTTTTGCAAAGAAAAGATGACAGGACCCTTTCCGAAGAGCTGCCATTGTGGCCTCACAAAAAAACACAAACAAGTAATGAGGTGGGATTTGGAAAAACAAGTGTTACAACGTGGGTCAAATTCTGCATCCAATTATAGTGGTGCAAGTGCTGAGGAACTCCAGTGATTGATTTATATTGGAGTCCTAGAGCAGAATTTGGCCCATGTGATTGGTATTGTAAATTTCATGTGGATTTTGTCAGCTTGAAATCTCTCTCTCTCTCTTTCTTCTCTCTTTTTCCATTGTGGGAGAATAAAGTCAGGCATGAGGTCTGCAGTAGATGGCCCAGGAGTGGAGATTAGGGGGAGGGAGCCAACCGAAAGAGGGGAGTTTGAAGAAAGTGATTGAAAGAGGAGGGAAGACACGAGGCGCAGAGGAGTTAGGGAAACTGTTACAGATGTAAAAGGAGGCGTTAAAGCCTGTGTGCTTGTTGTATCATTAAGTTTTAAAAAGAAACAGAGGAGGCTGGAAGCCGCTGCACAGATTTCAGAATATCTCGCACACCCATGCACTAAAACAAGATGGGGGTTTTTACGCCTAATCTCTGCCATCTGCAGTGAGAGAAAAGGTGTCAGCAGCTATTAAACCATCAGGAAGGGCAGCTTTAGCAGACTGTATTGATTTCACAATCTAGTGCTGTGAACCCAATAAGTGGGCAAAGAACCAATTAGGGTGCTCTGTTCCCAAACACCTTGCAATAATGTTAACAGCCCTAAGTATGGGACTCCCATATTAAAATCCATACTGGGGATTGGCCTCACACATGTAACTTGCGGTGGTTTTTGCTAGAAACCATGTGGCCAATAAATCTGTCCTGCCACCACTCACAAAGATTTTTTAAAAAATCCCTCCAGTGGTGGCTGCAACCGAGCCCAATCACAATCCAAAATATCAGTCAGACTTTGTGGAACTGCTTGCATCCATGTATCTCAATGCCCTTTGCTCACATGTAATGAATTTATGCAGATGGGGAAACTGAGGCACTGTAGTGGGGCAGATTGGCCGCCCACAGACCTGGAGGGGGAGGAGCCCCTTATTGAACCCTGGTGGGTGGGCCACACCATGCTTAACCCTCCAGCCGGAAGTTAGTGGGCAGGACTGGAAGTACAAGAGGCATGCCAGAGAACTCAGTTGGAAGGAAGCCACCAGAGGAGCCAGGCGCCTCCTGTGAGCTCCCAAGCTGGGAGGCTGCTGCAGACTGCAAGGGAGCCAAGGACTGGCCAGGATTGCCAGGGCCATTTACAGACCCGAGCACGGAGAAGCTGCAAGCGCTGACAGAGGCCATCTTCCCACACAGCCCTCTACAGAGCAAGGTATGCCCAGAGGGGGAGTTAGGAAGTGGCGCAGGGGTAGCCGACTCCTGTCTGGCTTTGCCACTGCTAGGGCCCTGGGCTGGGATGCAGTGGAGTGGGTGGGCCTATGTCCCCCCTACCACCTCAATCTGTGGCTGGCAGTTTCCCCTGTCTTAGGCAAGAAGCCTGCGCCTGTCGGCCCTCCACCAGAGCTAGGAGGCCAGACTGTTTGCTGCTCAGCCTGAGTCCCTTAGGGTATGTCTACACTATGAAATTAGGTTGAATTTATAGAAGTCGGTTTTGTAGAAAGCGTTTTTATACAGTTGTGTGTGTCCCCACACAAATGCTCTAAGTGCATGTAGTCGGCGGAGTGTGTCCACAGTACCAAGGCAACCATCGACTTCCAGAGCATTGCACTGTGGGTGGCTATCCCACAGTTCCTGCAGTCTCCGCCGCCCATTTGAATTCTGGGTAGAAATCCCAGTGCCTGATGGGGCTAAAACATTGTTGCAGGTGGTTCTGGGTACATATTGTCAGGCCCCCGTTCCCTCCCTCCCTCCATGAAAACAAGGGCAGACAATCGTTTTGCACCTTTTTTCTTGAGTTAGCTGTGCAGACATCATACCTCAGCAAGTATGGAGTCCGCTCAGCTAACCGTCACCGTATGTCTCCTGGGTGCTGTCAGATGTGGTACTGCATTGCTACACAGCGGCAGTTTATTGCCTTTTGGCAGCAGACAGTGCAGTATGACTGGTAGCCGTCATTGACGTAGTCCTAGGTGCTCTTTTAACCAGGCACCTGGGCAAACATGGGAGTGACTCAGCCAGGTCATTTCCCTTGTTTCATCTCATGGCTATTGAGTCCTACCGGCAGTGCACTGTCTTTTAATCTACAGCTAGCAGAAGATGATGGCTAGTCGTCACACTGCACCGTCTTCTGCCGAGCACCCAGGTGTTGACGTTGGCTAGCAGTCGTACTGCACAGTCTGCTGCCAGCAAGATGTATAAAGATAGATGAAGTGGCTCAAAACAAGAAATAGAGCAGATTTGTTTTGTATTCATTTTCTCCTCCCTCCCTCTGTGAAATCAACCGCCTGCTAAACCCAGTTTTGAGTTCTATCCTTGAGGTTCTGAGTTCTATCCTTCAGGGGGCCATTCAGTTTCTCGCAAAGCCACCCCCTTTGTTGATTTTATTCCCTGTAAGCCAACCCTGTAAGCCATGTCGTCAGTTGCCCCTCCCTCCGTCAGGGCAACGGCAGACAATCATTCCGCGCCTTTTTTCTGTACAGACGCCATACCACGGCAAGCATGGAGCCCGCTCAGATCACTTTGGCAATTAGGAGCACATTAAATACCACACGCATTATCCAGCAGTATATGCAGCACCAGAACCTGGCAAAGCGATACCGGGCGAGTAGGCGACATCAGCGCGGTGACGTGAGTGATGAGGACATGGACACAGACTTCTCTCAAAGCACAGGCCCTGGCAATGTGGGCATCATGGTGCTAATGGGGCAGGTTCATGCAGTGGAATGCCAATTCTGGGCTCAGGAAACAAGCACAGACTGGTGGGACTGCATAGTGTTGCAGGTCTGGGACAATTCCCAGGGGTTGTGAAACTTTTGCATGCATAAGGGCACTTTCATGGAACTTTGTGACTTGCTTTCCCCTGCCCTGAGGCGCAAGAATACCAAGATGAGAGCAGCCCTCACAGTTGAGAAGTGAGTGGGAACAGCCCTGTGGAAGCTTGCAACGCCAGACAGCTACCGGTCAGTCGGGAATCAATTTGGAGTGGGCAAATCTACTGTGGGGGCTGCTGTGATGCAAGTAGCTAATGCAATCAAAGATCTGCTGATATCAAGGGTAGTGACCCTGGGAAATGTGCAGGTCATAGTGGATGGCTTTGCTGCAATGGGATTCCCTAACTGTGGTGGGGCCACAGATGGAATCCATATCCCTATCTTGGCACCAGAGCACCAAGCCGGCGAGTACATAAACCACAAGGGGTACTTTTTAATAGTGCTGCAAGCACTGGTGGATCACAACGGACGTTTCACCAACATTGATGTGAAATGGCCGGGAAAGATACATGATGCTTGCATCTTCAGGAACTCTGGTCTGTTTCAAAAGTTTCAGGAAGGGACTTTCTTCCAAGACCAGAAAATAACTGTTGGGGATGTTGAAATGCCTATAGTTATCCTTGGGGACCTAGCCTACCCCTTAATGCCATGGCTCATGAAGCCATACACAGGCAGCCTGGACAGTAGTCAGGAGCTGTTCAACTACAGGCTGACCAAGTGCAGAATGGTGGTAGAATGTGCATTTGGACGTTTAAAAGCACGCTGGTGCAGTTTTCTGACTCGCTTAGACCTCAGCGAAACCAATATTCCCACTAAGAAAAGGAGTACTTGTAGCACCTTAGAGACTAACCAATTTATTTGAGCATGAGCTTTCGTGAGCTACAGCTCACTTCATCAGATGCATACCTCATGCTCAAATAAATTGGTTAGTCTCTAAGGTGCTACAAGTACTCCTTTTCTTTTTGCGAATACAGACTAACACGGCTGTTACTCTGAAATATTCCCACTGTTATTACTGCTTGCTGTGTGCTCCACAATATCTGTGAGAATAAGGGGAAGATGTTTATGGCGGAGTGGGAGGTTGAGGCAAATCGCTTGGCTGCTGGTTACGTACAGCCAGACACCAGGGCGGTTAGAAGAGCACAGGAGGGCGCGGTGCGCATCAGAGAAGTTTTGAAAACAAGTTTCATGACTGGACAGGCTACGGTGTGAAAGTTCTGTTTGTTTCTCCTTGATGAAACCCCCCGCCCCTTGGTTCACTCTACTTCCCTGTAAGCTAACCACCCTCCCCTCCTCCCTTCGATCACCACTTGCAGAGGCAATAAAGTCATTGTTGCTTCAAATTCATGCATTCTTTATTCATTCATCACACAAATAGGGGGATAACTACCAAGGTAGCCCAGGAGGGGTGGTGGAGGAGGGAAGGACAAGGCCACACAGCACTTTAAAAGTTTAAAACTTATTGAATGCCAGCCTTCTGTTGCTTGGGCAATCCTCTGGGGCGGAGTGGCTGGGTGGCCGGAGGCGCCTCCACCACGTTCTTGGGCATCTGGGTGAGGAGCCTATGGAACTTGGGGAGGAGGGTGGTTGGTTACACAGGGGCTGTAGCAGCAGTCTGTGCTCCAGCTGCCTTTCCTGCAGCTCAACCATACGCTGGAGCATATTGATTTGATCCTCAAGCAGCCTCAGCATTGAATCCTGCCTCCTCTCATCACGCTGCCACCACCTTTCAGCTTCAGCCCTCTCTTCAGCCTGCCACTTACTCTCCTCAGCCCGCCATCTCTCCTCCCAGTCATTTTGTGCTTTCCTGCACTCTGACATTGTCTGCCTCCATGCACTCATCTGTGCTCTGTCAGCGTGGGAGGACAGCATGAGCTCAGAGAACATTTAATCACGAGTGCATTTTTTTCGCCTTCTAATCTTCGCTAGCCTCTGGGAAGGAGAAGATCCTGTGATCCTTGAAACACATGCAGCTGGTGGAGAGAAAAAAAGGGACAGTGGTATTTTAAAAGACACTTTCTAGAACAATGGGTACACTCTTTCACGGTAAACCTTGCTGTTAACATTACATACATAGCACATGTGCTTTCATTATAAGGTCGCATTTCGCCTCCCTCCAGCACGTGGCTAGCCCCTCCCCATGGCTAACAGTGGGGAACATTTCTGTTCAGCCACAGGCAAACAGCCCAGCAGGAACGGGCACTTCTGAGTGTCCCCTAAAGAAAAGCACCCTATTTCAACCAGGTGACCATGAATAGCATCACTCTCCTGAGGATAACACAGAGAGATAAAGAACAGATGTTGTTTGAACGCCAGCAAACATACACTGCAATGCTTTGTTGTACAATGATTCCCGAGTATGTGTTACTGGCCTGGAGTGGTAAAGTGTCCTACCGTGGTGGATGGAATAAGGCTGCCCTCCCCCAGAAACCTTTTGCAAAGGCTTTGGGAGTATATCCAGGAGAGCCACGAATGCCAGGGCAAATTAATCATTAAACATGCTTGCTTTTAAACCATGTATAGTATTTTAAAAGGTACACTCACCAGAGGTCCCTTCTCAGCCTGGCGGGTCCAGAAGGCAGCCTTGGGTGGGTTCGGAGGGTACTGGCTCCAGGTCCAGGGTGAGAAACAGTTCCTGGCTGTCAGGAAAACCAGTTTCTCCGCTTGCTTGCTGTGAGCTATCTACAACCTCATCATCATCATCATCATCTTCCTCATACCCAAAACCTGCTTCCATGTTGCCTCCATCTCCATTGAAGGAGTCAAACATCACGGCTGGGGTAGTGATGGCTGAACCCCCTAAAATGGCATGCAGCTCATCATAGAAGCAGCATGTTTGGGGCTCGGACCCGGAGCGGCCGTTCGCCTCTCTGGTTTTCTGGTAGGCTTGCCTCAGCTCCTTAAGTTTCATGCAGCACTGCTTCGGATCCCTGTTATGGCCTCTGTCCTTCATGCCCTGGGAGATTTTGACAAATGTTTTGGCATTTCGAAAACTGGAACGGAGTTCTGATAGCACGGATTCCTCTCCCCATACAGCGATCAGATCCCGTACCTCCCGTTCGGTCCATGCTGGAGCTCTTTTGCGATTCTGGGACTCTATCAAGGTCACCTCTGCTGATGAGCTCTGCATGGTCACCTGCAGCTTGCCACGCTGGCCAAACAGGAAACAAATACAAAAGTTCGCGGGCCTTTTCCTGTCTACCTGTCCAGTGCATCTGAGTTGAGAGTGCTGTCCAGAGCGGTCACAATGGAGCACTCTGGGGTAGCTCCCAGAGACCAATACCGTCTAATTGCGTCCACAGTACCCCAAATTCGACCCAGCAAGGCTGATTTCAGCGCTAATCCCCTTATCGGGGGTGGAGTAAGGAAATTTTAAGAGCCCTTTAAGTCGAAAAAAAGGGCTTCATCGTGTGGACGGGTGTAGGGTTAAATCGATTTAACGCTGTTAAATTCGACCTCAACTCCTAGTGTAGACCAGGGCTTAGACTCTCTAGTGCCCCACCCTGATCAAGGGCCTGGACTATCTGACTGTTTGCTGCCTAGCCTGAGTACAGGCCTGAGCCGGAGACTCTTTTTGCCCTGCCCCAACCAGGAGCTGAGGCTCCATAACTGTGTTTGTTGTTCAGCCCCAATCACAGGCCCAAGCTCACGTTGTCCTGTTGATTCCCCACATCAGGCAACCCCCAGAGACGTAGTGGGGCAGATTAGCTACCCACAGAGCCGGAGGGGGTGGAGCCACTCCCCCCAACAGACTACAGGCACCAAGATCTTAGGGGACTTGGCTGAGGTAACACAGAAAGCTTGTGGCAGAGGCAGGAATAGAGCCCAGATCCCCTGATTTAAAGTCCAGAGCTCATATATAGCACTTTCATCTGTTGCTCACAAGAACAATTTTCTAAGAGGGTAGATATAATTATCCCTATATTACAAATGGGGAAAGTGTCTCAGTAAGGTCAAGTGAGTTGCCCAAGGTCACCCAGCGGGCCAGTGGCAGAACACCTATGCTCCTTGAATACCAATCCCAGGGCCATAGTCTCTGGGCCACAACAAGATCATGCTTCCAGCTAAAATAAACCCATGGGGTGTCTAACCCAGAAAAGTCTCTCTTCCTCCATGTTTGCTGGGGTGAGTTGTGTTCTAACCCTTCAGAGGATATTTGGAGTGAACCAAATTTGGTTATAATGGATCCAAAAGAACCAGAAATAGGCTTTGATAGGAAAAATGGATCTCCAACCTGGGATTCTTGCTCTCTGTTTGTAAAGCAAATATTTGATTGAAGAGTAGAACTGAGATTGGCAATTGTCATTTGAATTATTTGCAAGTGGATACAACAGGTGCTTCACTGCCCTGAAAAAAAAAAAATCAGACTCCAAAATCCATGTTCTTTCCTCTTACAAGAGCCTCATTGTGTTGTTACATGAGCAGTGGAAATATGACAGGGGGCTAGTGTTTATATTCAGAGAAGATGCACGCAGCTTCCATCTGTTCAACATTTGGAGCCAATTTGTGGTAAGTACTCAGGCTGAAAATTGCTTTGGAGTTTTGTCTGCAACTTCTTGATTTGAAATAAATCACTGATGTGTTCCCTCATCTTCAAACACATTGACAATGGCAACAGCAGCTTGCCTGAACTTTGGGCACTCTGAATTCCAAAATATTCAGGTGTCGTTTGCTGCCAAATGCCTGACCCACCACTTTTAGGGAGACCCTGGAGGAACAGCTGTTGTTGCTGACACAAGGCGGGGGTCATTTTCATGTAGCTCTATACTTGTTCGCTGGACAACAGCTCCACCTCTGGCTGGGTGAAATTCATCCCTTTACAGGGCAACAAGGCCTGTCCGCTGAAGACCCAAGGGCAGTACTTAAAGTGTCTGTGGGAGTTGTCAGGGGTTTTAGATCTGGAAAGAAAATAATCAAGCTTGGTTGCTGAAGGGCCCATTTTAAGCCCTGCCTAATCAAAGCTCTTGCTCCCAGATTGATAGCCCCTGCCCCATGTTTTTAAGGCCACTTTAAGCACTGCTTGGGCAGAATTTAAGTCATGATAGGCGTTAAGTAGGAGCTTAGCAGGGAGGTGAATTTCACCCAATGTCACTACTTTGCAGCTGTTTACGTTACTAAGCAATGTTGTTTAGCAGTCTCAAAAAGGCCTCCATCAACACCCCACCATCAAATGACCCCAGCCATTGGGACCGTGCAGGTACAGATTCAAATCCAAACGTTGAGGGCAGCACCCTCTAACTGTGGATCTACAAAACCTGGAAATGTAGGATCTGGTTCAAGTTTTGAAGTTTTTGGCTCAGGCTGCTCTGTAGTTCCAAATCCCAGTGATCGTGGAAATTGAGTCAGAAATTGAATCAGTGAGGTACAGAAAGGGAAATTCAGAAAGTAAAAAAAACACAGTATCCAACTGCAGGGAGGCATAATGTAATTAACAGGTTGGGGTTTTTGGCCAGGATACTGCGGTTAACATCCCTACTCCAGTGAAAATTGCCACAGGATATTTAATAAGCACAAGTGAGCAGGACCTCAATTTCATATCTTAAACAAAAGACAGCAGGGTCATCCCCACAGCACCCCAGTGGGTCATCTCACTCAGGGGGGAAAAAGAGTACCACTTTGGGCCCAATCCTGCACCACTGAACTCAAAGGGAGTATTAACATTGAGCTCAATGGGAGCAGGATTTGGCCCCAAATCACTAGATTCACTTCCTGCTGCACCTAGTTGGTGTTGGAGCCTCCCACATGAACATAGATCCTGCCCCAGCCCTGCTTAGCCTGTGAGATCGAACCAAACAAGATGAAGTTCTTGTCAAGTGGAAAGGACAAGAATGTGAATGCACATGTTCCTTTTGTGAACTGGGCCAGGCATGTGGGTGGCGGAACTGGTGGGAAATTGGCTGAAGGGACTCGGTGTGTGTTTCCAGCCCCTGATCCTCTGTAAAACTTGTTGACAATGGTACTACTGCCCGGCAGCTCTGGAGGACGAACAGCTTGGCTGGTTAAAAATCTGTTCTGTGGCCACCCACACCATGGAAGCCAGCAAGCAGTTAGTTTCTGATGGAGAAAAAGGTTTCTGAGGTATGAAACTTCCTCAGCTGTTTGACTATGACAGGCTTGAACAGCACTTTGCTAACACCCGTGACTGCAGCAGGACGTGTAAGTCACTGACACTATGACATCATCTGCCTGTGATGCTTTGTACTGTACAGCGTGTATAAATTAACAAATGGAAGATGTCAGCTTTGATCACAACTATTATGCTAGTGATTTTACTGTATATTTGATAGTCCTGGAGCCTTAAAATGCCACCTGCCTTGCAGGGAGGAAGGGTCTTTTTTGAAAAAAAAAAAAAAAAAAATAGGAACAGTGTTATTCAGTGGGATTGATCCCTTTTTTCCCCTAGAGGGGAAAACTCATATAGAAGAAGTAGGATTTTAAAGCTCCAGGATTGTACTAGACAGGATTATCATACATAGTAGGGTCAAAAAAGGTAATTTAGGTCAGTGGCTCTTCCTGGGTGGTATATCAACTCATGTAGATATTTGCCTACTTTTTCAACAGGCTACATAAAAAGCACTAGTAAATTTAGTACAGACTAAAATTTCCTACAGACAATAACTTGTATATACTGCTCTGTATACTATACACTGAAATGTAAGTATAATATTTACATTCCAATCAATTTGTTTTATTTTATGGTAAAAATGAGAGAGCAATTTTTCAGTAACAGTATGCTGTGACATTTGTATTTTTATGTCTGATTTTGTAAGCAAGTTTTTAAGCGAGGCAAAACTTGGGGTATGCAAGACAAATCAGACTCCTAAGGTACAGTACTCTGGAAAGATTGAGAGACTCACCGATTTAGGTCATCAAATCTGACGTACATTTCCTTCTGAAGGATCCAAAAGTGCTTTATAAATAATAGTCCAAGTACAGCCCCTGGTTATATCCACCGACCTACCTTAATCACTGAGGTAGCATGGTTCTAATCAGGGCAGAATCTGGCCTTGTACTTATAGACATCATTCATTTACTACTGAAGCACAGCCATCCCTGGATAGGAACATGGCAGGCATCCGACATGAAAGCAACAGTACACCCAGTTAAATTTAGAGAGGAACTGAAGAACTAAAACTAACCAGTATTCCGTAAACCTGTCATATCACTGCTAAACTAACCCATACCCATAGACAAAGAAGAAGTGGGTAGATTTCAGGGGGTTTACACAGTCATAGGCACACTTCAGAGTCAATCAGTCAAAGGACTAAACAGCTGCCTACTTTCCAGGACTAGTGACAGTTTCTGAGTGAAAGCACAGACTCCAGGAGTATGGAGGAGCAGCAACATCAAGAAACACAAATCCCATAAGAAGCATGCTGATGGGAGAGAATCAGATGAGTTCTAACAGGAATTTTCTCCATTTCATCTTATTCTTGATATAGCCTTTATTCCCATATAGATATATAAGAAAGTCTCCCTTATCTTCACTCTACTGGATACCACACAGAGATCACTGGTTTCTATACCCTCCAAGGTAACCCTCGCCCTAGCTGCATCCCAGAAATTCAAGAGCTGGAAGGTGAATAAAAAGACACAGCATGTTGTATTTTATTTTAATCTCATGCTTTTGCAGGGCCTGACTTATGATTTTTGAATCTTTGCGCTTGGCAAAAACATATTTGTCAGGAGAGCTTTCCAATATAGGTAACAGACACAGCCTAATTTTCCACCCTGTTACTCTCTATGGAGTTACACTTGGGTAACAGTGGAAAATCTGAGCCACTGGATGCAATTTAAAGTTCATATAATAATGCTTTATATAGCACCATTCAGCCAAGGATTTCTGGCTAAGTATTTCCAGAGTGCCCTGGTATCTAGGCACTAGTGGGCATTGGAAACATCAGCCATCACATGACCTGGATAAGTAAACGTTACAGCTAACTGGAAAAAAGACTGCCACAAAAAATGTAGACATTAAGTACATGAAGAAGTTTTGGGTGAAAACCCCCCACAAATTCTTAATGTATGCAGACACTGTCCGTGAACATTTTCATTTAGTTTAAAACACAATTTTCTGTCACAAACCAGTTTCAGTGGGAAACTTTCAACCAGCCCAAGGAAGGATGAAACACATTTTACAACTGATTGTATGTTGGAGTGCTCTGAACAGTGCAGCCCACAGAGAAAGGGCTCCAGTCTCCTCTCATTTTCACTGGGGTTAACTACTGAAATTAGTGGAGCTATAGCAGGTCAGCGTAACGTTGGGGTATGTGAGAGAAGAATCACACCCACTGTCTGACCCAAGGGTTTATGGTCTAAAGGCCTCTTCTGAAGTATTGCACGTGCTCAGGACATCTCAGTATCAGGACTTAAATTTGTAA